TAAGACTCATTTCTAAAAATAAAAGCGCATGGGAGTAGTCACCCATATTGACATAGACCGAACCAATGTTGTTGTAAGAAGCAGCCAAACTGGTATCCGTTGGAGAGAGAATCCCAATGGGGAAACAGCGGATTTTAACTACAAAAGAACGTCAAAGTATACTACTTGAAGTAGCTCTACGTATCACTCAAGTAGCACAACGTTAGAACAAGTAACTTGAGGTAGCTTCAAGTAAATGCGAAGTTGAAAAGTACATGAAAATAAACTACTTGAAGTAGCTTAAAGTAGCTCAAGTAACTTCAAACCCAAAAGTCCGCTGTTTCCCCCCTTGGTGAATCCGGTGTTGGATTTCAATGGATTGTTCAAAGAAAGCGATACCATCTCCGTATTCCACTTGACCCGCCTTCACTTGTCCGAGCATATTGTAAACTAATGATTTTTCACGATCAGTCATTGTTTGATGAAGCAGGATATTGCACACCTCTTGAGCTTTTTCGTACTGCCCCAGTGTAATGAGTAAGTTACCCAAATGATCCCATTCTTTAAGCTGAGGATACGTCTCTTTACCCATGTGTTCAGTAAGTGCGTGGAGATCTGGATAGTTATCACTGGTCAATGTTAAATCGACTTGCCAAAGCCGATCGTTTTCATCGATCTGTTGCATTTGTCCAATACGAAAGATTGAATGCATCGAGAAAAGAAGTTCATATTCTCCTTTTAAATAACTCACGTCACGGACATTAGCAAATGATATTGACGTGATGGATGGATCAATTTTCACGACAAACAAAATACCAACAAGATTGGATGATTGCATAGTTTTACGAACAAAACTGAGCGATATTTGATGGCGTGTACTTGTAGATAAAAAGTTATTAAATGATAAAAGCCCACCTTTAGTTTTGACCAGTTGATCATAGTCGTTCTTCGAAAGTCCTTGCCCACGATAAACAGTAAATGAGTTCAAAGTCGATTGTCCAGCAAACTGTTGAGCATGAAGTTAGACAATGTGATTATGGAGATCTTGAATGAAAAATCCCATGTTAATGATAAGATTGACATCCATCGTGCGTAATGATCGATTGAGCATTGAATAAATAAAGCAATTGTACGTATACCACCATATCGAGATATGTTCGTGATATTCGCGTTGGATTTTGTGGATATTTTCCAATTCTCTTGGATTTGCAGTGAATAACTGGCGACAATAAGTAATGAATTCATCGATATGTTGTTGTTTAAAATCGATAGTTAATAAAACTTCCTTCATTATTTTGGTGTACATAAACGACGAATCTAATTGGTTGAGATTTGCTTTGTGACTTCCACCATCGGCCGGGACAAAACTGATCAATATCATGTTTTGATCACATTCTTGTACAACTTGTTGAAGGACTCCACAGACAAGAGCAATAGCTATAAAGATTCCTTGTAGTTTTGGTCATTGACTGGCTCAACCTTTGTTTTCAGCTCGGTTCTCACTCATAATATAGATACTATTGATTTGTGAAATTCCATGAATGATGAAAATAGTTGTTTGCGCGAATGCATTGGAAGCAATCATAAATACTTTCTCTTCATGAATATTAGTTATAAAGTCTATACATTCGTTCACATCAGTGAATGGATATATCTTGCTCACTACTTCTTGTAATTTGTTAATATTTTTGATACAGTCGCTGTTGTTCTGCTCATCGATATTGGCATCGAGCCAAACCAGAAAGAAGTTCTGAACTTTACGAGCATAAAGTGACGGTGATGGTCTTATACTCGTATGTTCAGATGGGATGGTAGCGGCAGTTGTTGTTATCGACTTTTTAGTTTTGTCCATGGTGTGTACGATATGTAATCAATGAAAGCAATAAAATGACTTGAGCATATATTATGTGTTACACTTTTTTAATGTTTCTTTTTCTTTCATTGTTGTTGTCGTTTGAGCTCTTTTTTCTTTTCATTTCACTTAGATGCTTTAATTCTTTTCTTATCGATTTTCATCTTTGGTGCCACAAGAAAACGAACCAATGAAAAAAAATCATTTTAACATAATTTAATACACTGTCACATTTCGCTTTCTTGTTATGAAGGTTGGAAACTTTTTCATTCATTCCTTTTATGTTGTCGTAATTGGTTTTGTACATGGAAAAAAAAGAATATACATTGCAGTGTTTGAAAATGCATTCCAGGTTCTTATTTCAGTAGATGTGTTGTGCTCAATTGAGAGTTCAACATCATACGAAGCAGATGAAAATATAGATAGAAGGTTGTTATTGTTGCGAAGAAGTTTTTTTTTAAATAAAAAATCCATTAATTTTAACTTAGAATACGAAAAGTGTTTTTTTGTGTCCATGTTCTCACACTATTCTCAAAGGAAAGCTAAATGAAACTATCATCATTATTTTGTTTTAAAAATGAGACATATCGTTTATGTTATTTTTTATAGTTACTTGATTACTTTTTAATTTATATCTAAGTAGTTTAAAAAATGAATTCATTTTGTATATCAACTTGGTCATCTAAACCGGACTTATGGTTTATGAGATAATAAAAACTTCGAGTTGTTCTAAATGTCAAACTTAGCGAAAAAAAACTTGTTAGTGCAGTCCCTTTGAGCTGGAAATGTGAAATCACATATGTTCTCTAGCTTCATTAAACTAATACAAAATACGTAAAGTGAAAAATCTCTCGTGGACTAAGGCTGTTTGGCAAGATAATCAAATATCAGAGTAATGACCTTTCTAATTTCTGCATTTTGAACAGAATATTTTTGTTTTTTTCTACAGGTGCTCTATTTTTGTTTGCATTGTTGCTGTTCGCTTATTGCTTTTCTTAATTTAACATTCTTACTGTTATAATCATGAACATAACTAGCAAATAAATCTGTTTTACATATTCATGATATCTATAGCAGATCTTGCACAATATTATATGTATTAATCAACTCGCAAACACTGATATTCATTATTTTTCAAAATTATAACTAGATCAATTTTGCAAAAAATAATCTAGAAAGTCTGATCTCTGTTATTCTCTATTGCTAAAGTCTGTGATGAGATGCGGCGAATCTGCAGTGCGAGGTGTCTTTAATGGAGGCAATACTCATTGCTAAGTATCTGTAGTTGGGTGGGAGTGAGTTTGGGGAACCGGGAAATTTCGGCTTAAAACTTACACTCATTATTTTTTTCGAAAATATAAGTGAGTTCCACAAAACTAAAAATTCTACATGATTATGTCTTGATTGGGAATACGAGCTGAGTTTGGTCATGCTTTCAATCAGTAAATAATAGATATTCTTCGAAGAAAACAAGAAAGTATCTCGAGCATCAATAATTTCGGTAATACCAACGAAGAGCAATAAAGAATCTTTCAAAATACAGGCTTTAAAGAAGTTTCGAGTATTTATAAATATACCGACCAGTCCAATTTATTCAAGACAGGGCGAAAACTACCGAGTTCAAATCTCACGACTGCCATAGCACCGTCAATGGTCGTTTAAAAAATATTCTACAATTGTTCGTGAGACAAGAGTTCTACCTTTTTTCAGAAAAGTACTATTTTTTTATTGGCATAATGCAATAGTGTAATAATGAATCGAATTCGTGATTGGGCACACTTTCGACACAGTTTAATATGCCATCGCCAAAATCAAACAATACCGTCATTGCGACGGCAAAAAGGACCGTTGACATTTAACCTGATGGTGCTTGACTAGACTTACTCATTTTGGTACTTCTTGTCTCGCTTAAATTTTCTGTACTGGATGCGTTGTTTTCTTAGACAGTGTAGATACGAACTGGACAAATCAGTTTGGATGTTGAATGTGGACGAAAGGAACGTCAAGTTGAGTGTCCGAGATGAAATCATACTCGGACCTTAATTGATAGTTACATAGATACTGCTAATTGATTAAAATCATGTGTTGTTTTACTGATATCATTGTGAAAAAATGTTTGATCACGTTGTAATAAAATGAGATTTCCTTTAATATTTATGATACGTTGTACACGAGCAATGGAGTGGATTCGAAAGGTAGCAATGCATTTATATATTCACAGTTATCGTATTTTACTTGCTATTGCTGTTAACGTCAGTGTCATCAGCAACAGAAGAACGTATGTGTAGTAATACCGAATGAATTTTACAGTTAGAGTCGGGACAACAGATAAAGTGAAATATGTCGTGACTGCTAGTTAAGTATGCTAAAACAATGAAATAGGAAATTAATCAATAAGTTTGATTAACAAGATCGTATAATCATGCAATTAGTCATTCTTGATTTCTGCTCGATAAAAATGATCTATATCATTTAAGTAAGATGTTTCTCAATAGATTGGTCTAACTTAATTCAACGCATTCAATGACTACAAAAAAAAAACAAATCTATATTCAGTATTTGTATCGTAGTTTGCTTTCTTTAACGTGTACCTGAAACGTCATTAACAACTACTCGGTAATTTTGTACTGCTCATGATAAAGTACAGCACGGAAATGAATCTCATTTCATCTTAATATGGCAGCGTATATGATCGTATGCATGCTGTATTCTCATTCAACACGACTGTAAAACATTGGCCTGGGTTACCATAAAATTCGGCATGTAAACGACTCGTATTTTACTGTATGCAACTGTATAATTACCTTAATATTCGATTAAGGTAGCACTGCTTTTCAAAATAAAAGTTTTCTAACATATACTTCTTGTATATCTATCGACTAGAATCGTTCAGTCCAAAAGGTATTCTTAAATTTTCATTGCAAGTTATTAGCGGCATCTATATTTCTTCAATGTTCAATATATTTGTAAAAATTATATTAATATTTCACAAAAAATATTTAAAAACTGAATTCTTTTCATAATGAAAATAAATTAAGCATAGTAAAATTTTCTTCATCCAACAAGAAAAATTGCGGGTCTTTGTTTCATGTTCAGTCATTGTTATTTCTTCCTTTTTTTTTCCTCATTCACTGTATTATTTTTTTCTCTTTCTTTCAATATCAGAACTATGGATTCTACAAATATTATCATTCCATTTGATTATCCATTTGCTATTTTGGGTAGTGTAATTTCATTTCGTGTTGTTTCTTCTTTTAACTTCAACTATTTCTTCTAGAACATCGTCATAATTCTGATCCAAATAATAAACTTGTTTATGCTGTTGCTGATGGTCAATACACATATGGTCCACTTTCATTATATCAATATCATAATGATGAAAAATATTCTAAAACGTATACAAAATTTTTCTATCTTTTCACTTCAAATACGTTTTTTTCTTTTTTTTAGAATTCGAGCCGATGAATTACCACCATCGTTATCATGCAAAGTAAAAACAAACTCTGAATTCATTTTATTTTAATTGACAATTTTTTTTCTATTGACTAAAGGAATATTATATCGTTGAATCAGGTTTTTCAACTGATGATGCAATTGAAATAATTGATGAAAATCGTGGACTTATATATGTTAAAGAAATTATAGCAACTGATGATGATGAAAATGATGATTCTATTGTAACGATTGATCAAGAGCCTGAACAAGGTTTGTTTGTTTGTTTGTTTTCGAAATGCAATTTCATTATATATATATATGCAAAAATCATCTTTTTAGTTCACATGAAAGAACTATTTAAAGAAATGACTGAATGTAAAAATGAAATTCGAAGTCTTAAATCTATTGTAAGATATAATCGATGTTAGTAAACATTTAAAACATTTGTTTTTCTTGTTCTTCAAGGTTTTATCAGAAAATCGTTTTATGAAACGTCGATCAACTTCAACAGGTAGATAAATCAATAATAATATTATTTTCTATTTTCATTTTAATAAATGATTTAGATTCACCTGGTTTTCGAAATATAGAAAATAATGGAAAATGGATTCGTGGTGGTGCTGGTAATCGTTCAGCTAATACTGGACATATGTCAGATGATGGTGGTGTATCAACACCTTTACGTTATACGAAAACAACTGGTATTCGTAAACCATACCAAGTACAATCATCAATTGTTCAACGTAGTGTATCAGCAACATTATCAAATAAAAATGTTTTAACACCATTACGAAATAAAACAACAATGTCATCAGTAACAGCAAAATATACAACACCAATGAGTACAACAATATCAACAAATAAAAGAGTTGTTTTAAAAAATGTTAAGTCATCTGGTTATGGACAATTTACAACAATTAATAATACAACAACAACTATTAAAAAACAGCAACAACAATTACCTGCAGTTGCTACACCTGGAAGATCCTTTAGAAAATAAGGATTTCGTTTTTTTTTCTTTCTCATGCATTTCATTTTCGTTTTCTCTTATCGATATGTTTGTCTGTATGTGCGTTTGTGTATAGTTCATAACTTTAAATAATTCTCTTGTTGAATATGATTAAACAAAAAAAAAAAAAAAACGATCTAAATTCATGTATTTTCATCTATATAGACTATTTGTGAAAATAAATTGTACACTTGTTCAGAAAATTCTACGAATTGAGAATTTATTTAAACAATTTTTTAATATGAAAAATATGGCAATGTCGGAAAACACGAACTAAACGAAGTGTTGAAGTATAGAAGTAAAATCTTGGACCCATTTCTCATCCGCTAGAACTCGTCGCATCCAGGACCAATTCGATGAACTCTTCTTTCCATCTCATAGACGGTATAGCAATAACGTCTTGTCGTAATATATGAACTACTTATTTCATGACTGGAAGATTGATTAAAGGATGGCGAAGATATTTGTGGCAAAATAGATAGAACAAAACAACTTCCCATTGATTGTCAGCAGTAGTTGTATCGTGTTTTAGACCTTGATTCAATGAAATTGTAAAGTATAAAAGTTAGAAAATGTGATTTTCAGTATGAAAATATTTACTAACATTTTACAATAGAGATTTTTAATGAGTGAAGGAATTACATGTGAAGTTCTTATCTATAACGATATGAACGTCAATAATGATATTTCATAGTCTATTAGATTTAGAATTCGTGGATTAGAAAATGTCAATGTTTATTATATCATTATTTTTGAAGATGGATCAAATTCATTCATAGACGTTTTTGTTAATGCGGTGCGAAGCAGAGCATTTATTTTCTCAGTTATTTAATTGGTTATTTAATATTTTCTTACTTTTATTGTTATACACTAATGTGACATTTTATTGCTGTAAGCAACTTCTGCAGACAAAACATAGAATAGGTTTACAATACTTACACTAAACTATACATTTTAGTATATAGTTAAAATTACAGTATATTAAATAGTCAATTAAAAAATTAAGGGAAACAACAAAGAAATTCATCGTATATTCGTTAAGTTATTGAAGTTGAAAATTAGATAAATATCTTCGTTTCTTTTTTTATTATAAATGATCATATACATGATATGTTGAAGTTGATATCATCAATTTTAATGATCATTTCATACTAATTAAACAGAAGAAATCATCGAAGAATCTTTTTTTATTTTCATCTAACTAACATATAAATAAATTTATTAATTATATTGATATTGGCAAGCAATCAATCAGGTTTGTCTTAATCAACATAGAAGAATAATCATGTTTTGACAGAACTTTATATAAACTGTACAATAACTCAAACTCAATTCTGTTCATTTTTATTGATAGAAAAGACACATGTTTAATTGAATTCATAGACGATTTTGTCATAACTCTGGAATTTTTTTCTTTCTTAAGAAATAGGGATTCTATCTTTTATCTATATAATCTAGAAGAATATAAGTATCTATCTCATTCTTCTGATCCTTCTGTATAAAATAAGCTTCTAAACTTTAGGTTTTACTTTTAAAAAAGCATATTTACATCATCCATTCATTGTTAGCTCTTGTTTTCTTTTTGAATTATTCAAATTCCTCATGTTTTATATTGATCCGTTAATAATTTAAATCTATTTAATTTTTATCTTTGAATGCGTAGATCAATCGTAGTCAACAGTATTATATTTAATCTTAAAACCAAATACTTTTTAAAAGTACTCGTGTTTATTTTAATTCATATGAAAAACAAGTAAACTTTATCGAGTAAAATCTTTTAGAAAAAATCTTTTATTTTATTATTTCGTCTTTATATTATCAGAATATATTTGATGTATTTCACACTTAAAAAATTTCTTTTTGTTTTCTATTACAAAGAAAAGTACTTGTTATGATAAATAATCAATGCTACATATGTGATTGTACCTTTTTTTTTGCCAGAAGATAAATTCTTTTGTTTAGAATTTATCTTAGTTTCATAAGAGTCATTCGAATACGGAAATACATGTTACATATCCAGTGAATATTGTCAGGCGAAAAAGAAGTTTTTATAGATATTCAATTTAGTAGTTATCGTCATTGTTAGAATTACATGTTGGTCGTCTATCGACGTCGGTGTTTAATCCATTATGAGGGTGGGCGTTCCTCCGAAGTTTGCGGTTTTTGTACCACGTACTATGTGTCAGTACTCCTAAAAATAACAATTTGCCCTTTTGAAAGAGAAAATTTATATAAAACACTCATAAGCTAGATCGGAACAAACGTTTTCATAATCTCTAGTTCTAAACTCATTCATTTGGTTTTGTTCAATATGTCTGTATGCATATAAATGTATAAGTTTTCCTATATGTTATACGAATAAGTTTAATACACTCTGCAATTTCATTTAATACGTGGATACATATTTTTTAAATACATAGGACAACAAATGGACAATGATGGTTTTGTATTGATCTTAGTCAAATGTTATAATTTATTTAAGTATTAAAGTTCAACATAATTTTTTACGATTTGGAAATTTATTTAATCATACAATCTTGGTATTCTTAAAACTTGATTTAAGATTATGATGGATGAATTACAATTTTTTTATAGTTTAGGAGGTTTCATCAACTTATGTTTGCCTACTTGCTTGGCCATAGATTGACAATGTTAATTTTTCTTTTTTACATGCTCTTGTTGTCGTTGCTGTTTGTTTTACCTGTACTTGCTTTGTAAAGTAGAGTCATTGATTAAAAAGAAAGAAAGAAAAAGAAACGGAGAACGCATGTATGTCTTGTTTGCACACATATTTTTCAATTTCATTGTTTTCATTTTCACATTTCAAAAACAAATTTCAATATTTGAAAAATGAATGGAATCAGTGATACTGACATAAAATTAAATATTAATCATGATGGAACTATAGAATATATTCGATTTGATAGAAATTCAAGTAGAAGTACATGCTCATCAATTGTTCTTAGTAGTTGTAGTAGTGATGAAGAAAATGATGGCAATCGTTATATGCCACCATTACAATGGAAAAGACAAAAAATTTTCAATAATGATTGTCACCGTTCGTAAGTTGATTCATTTGTTATTTAGAGATTCTTTTTTATCTTTCCTTGAAAAGGTTAAGAACTAATCCTAAGAAAAAAAAAGCATTATTAAAATAAAGAACGCAACAAGAGTTGATATAAGTATAACATACGTAGATATATATATATATACGATTAACCAAATATACACACGTAGATTTATATATATCGTACAAAAGGTTTATTATTAAGTTATGAGAGAGGAAATTAATAATTAAAGTATGTTGTTGTCAACACATTTGTCTACTATAGATCCTTCTTCATTATCAAATAAGGAAATTATGTAAGAAGAATAGTTTGTTTGTTTATTGTTGTTTTCTTTTTTTGTTTGATTTTTTTTGAAGTTTTGTTAATTTGATTTAAGTGAACGCCTTCCCAATGGTAACGATGCCCTTAATAATTCGCAAATCGATCGAAATTCTATTATGTCAGCAAAAGAAAATGTTGCAGCTTCTTTTGATGATGAACGACGATCAATACCACCAAGACGTTTACCACCTATACCTGAAGATAAACTTCATCGAGTAAGTATGATTCTTTTAAAAATGAAAATAAAAAAAAATTCTATGATTCAGAGAAATCCACATACAGTCCGACAAGAACTTAAAATGCTCGATGATTTTGTACCAGATACAACTCTAGCTGATGTACAGCTTAGTGAAATGCCCGGTCTTCAAAATACAGGTTATAATTCATTTAGAATAAAACAAAAACTTTAAATAATATAAAATTAGAACAATGGAAACGTATTGCTGGTCGAACAGTTCATCCATCGCCACCATTATCACGTCAATATTATCAAACAGTTGTATCAACACTTGAATTACAAGATGGACAAATACCACAACCATTAGGTTCATATCGTCGACCAGGTCGTAGTGAAAATGAACAAGATATGCCAAGTGTTGCTACACCTCCATGGCGTACATCACGTCGTCGGGCAATATTTGGTTCATCAGTTGCTGTTGTTATTGTTGCTATTGTAGTTAGTGTTGTCCTTGCTGTTACATTAAGTAAGAAAGCAAAAAACATATTCTAAACAAATTAATTGATAATCAATTTATTCTTGTTTATAGTCAAAAGATCAGATCAAATTACATCTGATTATTATGCAGGAAGTGTTTATGTTCGTGCAAATTTTGATCCCTTACTGTTAGATCCAACATCAACGTTAGTAAGAGATCGTAAAAAAGAATTTTGTACATTAGTAAGTACAATAGATTTTTTTTTTGAATTCATGATTGAATCGTTTTTCTTTACATACATATGAATGAAGAGCATAAGCATTGTATCGTTATGTTTTGAAAAGAAAAATGTCTATAAGTCGAGTTCTACTCAATTGATTTTGATTATATTTCTTTTATTTATCTACAGATGGTCATCCCCTTTGAAACAAGTCAAGTTTCAATCTATTTTAATTTCCGAAAAATCATAGCAGTACTGTCAAATACTTAGTTTCTAACGTCACCTGTCGATAAAAAGACAAATGTTTTTAAAATTATTATTGCACCTAGATTTGTAGAATTTGTTAAGAGTTTTCAGAATATGTGTTAAATTTTAGCTATCTCAATGAAGTTCTATGAATGGACAATCATTAAAAATAGGTGCTAAGACATTTCTTGTTTTCGTGTAGAGTGACTATAATTCAATGAAAACTGAATTGTTTACCACAAAATTTCACTCGTTTTTCACTTGATAGAATTGAGTAATATTCCAAGACACGAAACCAAATCCAATTTTACTAACAAACTGTTGAGCAAAATTTCTTTCTTTTTGCAGTAATTATATACTCAAACTAATGGAGATATACAAATAACATACAGATATCGACTCTCGTATAGAAAACTGTTTGACAATATCATCATTTTTGAATTTCTATTACATCCAAAAAAGGAATCTAGCGTTAACTTG